CGAAAGCTTCCACACAGCGTAATAAACATGGTGTTTTTTGTTTGTTGATTATCCTGAAGGATTGAGAAGCATCCATGTGATGTCGTTCCCCCACCAGATGCCTGGTGATTGTGCTGTTAAAGACCCTGCTACCATTCGGACACTGATTTCTCAGAATGAGGCCATAAAACGGAATTGACAGCCTTCTTCCGATCCATGCTAATCACTTGCATCCATAAGCCCAGGTGATTTGGTATACACAACTGGAGGTGACTTGATGTGAGTTGGGTATTTGTCAAGTTTCGACTGTTATTCAGCACACTGCGATGTAAACTGAGATCAGTCTGGCGGCAGAGAAACTCCTCAGTACATTTTTTATTCTTCCATCTGCCATTTCACATGTCTCATCACCTTTGAAAGCTAGATGAGAAAAAAACAGGCTCCTCCTGAACAGTTGGGTGATTGTTTCTCTCAGTAAATTCTTTTCCGTGCTTCGAGATGAATTTCTTAGAACATTCATTCCATATAAGAGCTTTCTCAATTACAACAAGTCCTTCTTCCTGTTTGTCTTCAGAGCATAGCCTCTGTATTCTAGTGAATAGCGTCCCGACTAAACCACTGTCGTAGTAGTCGAGACAGAAAATATCGTGTGGTGAAGGTACTGACCAATTCATGTGTCTCTCCCGTGGATCGTCTTCTCAACTGTATTACCAATTATCCGAAAAGCTGAATCAGTCCTCATTTCAGTATTCTATCAGGTGAGCATGGTTGAGAGCGCCGAACAACTTTTACGCATGATTCATATCATCACAAAGAATGAAAGTATCACCGCTTTCTTGCTAGCGGAGTTCAATCATGTTCGTTCGAGACAAGTCATGGACACAACAGCTGGGATAGTCCCCAGTGATCAACACACAGCCACTTTATCAACTTGCGTGTATAGCTGATTCATAAACTGGAACTGAACGCTTTTGTACAGATGAACACCAAACGTTTGTTTGAGTGAACCATAAAATCAGCTGAGAAAGTATCTTCTGTAAATACCTTGGTTCTTGGATCGTTTCAATGACAAAAATGTTCACGTGATTCAAGACTGTGATTAAGCCTACCTCATCCAATTGAATCGCATTTCTTAGCTACATGCTGAGTAATTTTGTGGACATATTTCACTAGAATATTTCAGTATAACAAATCTCATTCTTATTCACCAACTGACCATATCACTTGTGAAAGTTTGACCGAGATGTTGAGATGTTCACCAGTTGTTGCCTTCGATCAACTTTAAAACAGAGGGAATAAACGCTGAAGTGGAATAATATGGATCAATTATTTGTGTTGATTTGGTGGTTCTTGTCGGCTGCTTACTCCCTAGAAAACTCAACAACAAATTGAGATAAAGCATTAGGATAGTGCAATATTGTGGTCACTTATTGGGAACCGACGGCTGATGTGTACCATAGAAAGAATGAGATTGTTAGCGAAACTAAGTCTAAAACACTACGTAGTCCAGTTGGACTCTAACATATTGAAACCACCCGTCAGACTGAAGATAGTGGACGAAAGACTCACGTTGTTTGGGAACCTTTGTAGTTTACTGAGGATATAATCTTTCCTGAGAATGACATAGAGCCAATTAACCTAAAGACTTTTGACAAGTTGTTAAACTAGGAATTGGGATCAAGAGGACGATACGCGCACCCGGAAAGGAAGGGTAGGCAGCTTAAGGCCTTCAAAATAACCCAGACAGAATCTTTTATAACTCTTAGCCCCTGGATGTCACGCCACATGTAACCTACAGATGAACTGATATACCTCAGACAGCCACCTCCACGGTCATTTATCCTATCACCACGAAAAAGTGCATGGTTTTTAAGGCAAATGCTCAGGTTAGAAATATCCGGGGTGCTCCACCCTCAGTTATAACAATGACTGAAGGGGAGCATAACAACGCAAGTAAGGTCAAACTGGATATCTTATTGCAGATTGACCGAACATTTATTACGCACACAGAAAATGGACATCCCAACAGTTGAAAGCAACCTCAAATATCTTGAAAGAATAACTTTCCAATATCATTGGGAAGCATAGAGTGCTAGCCACAGGTAAGTCGTGAGGTGCCGGGCGCGTGAATTGTGCCAACATTAAAATGAGGTGGTGTGGGACAGTTTACGAAGGAAACAGTAGAGTTAGGCATATCGATAGATTCAACATTGACCTAAAAAGATCAGATGAGTGAGAAAGAGAGATTGAGTTACTCACATGATTCGCAGTTGTGTGGCACTTTTCTAATACATACCCACCAGAAACAAGGATTAAAATGCCCACCTTTTTATCATCAGTGTATGGTGTAGATGTTGGTTGTTGGTGGATGCCAAGGAGGCATGATAGCATTCGGTTCTCAGTGGCGTTGTGTAATTGCGTTCAACACACTCCTGGGGACTAGCTGGATCGCGTGGCTTGCTTAAGGTGCTGTCAACCCTTAAAGTCGCCAAAAACTGTCAAGGTGTTTGTAGGCTTTTAATGGGTTCAAGAGTGTACGTTGGAGAGTCATGGCGGTAATATTCAGTGGTAAATTGAGTATAGTGGATAATTTTACCTGCTGTAAGGGGATTCGGAGCAGGCATCTGACGATAGCTCGGCTCACCAATCGAATAATGGATTTTCCTCGCAGATAATTTCCGATTCCGTGTTTTTGGAAGTTTGATGCTGCCATAAAAAACACTCTGGCATCATTGTAATAATCACTAAAGGTAGTTTCAGATGGGGATTGTGCAACGACTGAACAATCACTGTTGTGCTTTGCAAAGTATATTGAGTGGAATGGGCTCATCTGGCGATTCTCGGCTTACTACACAACAGAGTAATAAAAGACAAAGTATCGGTTTTTGAGACAAAAATATTTCTATGTGAGTTCAAAGGCTCATTATTGCTTGAGTGAGTTTCAGTGGGAAGATAGTTGTGGGAAGGGCTGTCGATGGATGAAGCTGGATCATTGAACTTTTCGTTCATGGTGGCCTTATTTATGTCAGCACCAGTATGTTATGTTGGGGAGATAACATCTGAAATCAAGAGGTCTGGATCAACTGAGCCTACTATCGCCTGACTGACTGGTTATCCACATCGGATGACAAAACGGTGAGGTCACGGATGAGTCAACTGGACTTATGTTTACCTGATGGTTCATCCGTTCATTCTCGGGATCAGTAGTAGGACTAGTTCCCGTGTTATCAAGTGGGGGTTCCCACTGAAATTTGCGAGTGCGACGTCGGCATGGCGTTAAACCTTCAGTAGCACTGACACTTCATAGGAAGTATGAACCGTGACAGATTCGCCAGATTTTGGGAGAAGTTTAGCACCCCAGACGCAGTCAAACTTTAAAAAAGTGTGCATATGTTGCCATTTGATACTTTCCTCAACCTAGCAACATCATATTAGGCCGATGGGGTAAAGCATGCTTGTAGACATAAGTCTTTAAATCGATGTACCGGGTATGGTCAGGAAGAATATACATCAGACATATACATAAGACGACATAATTCTTTTGGTGAATTCCTCTGCCACAAAGTGGATTAAACGTTCACTTTTACGTAAGTTCTCAGAGCCAGCAGTGGCGTTAGTATTCTTATCTCAAATACACGTAGGTGGGACATATTTAGAGAGGTTGTTATTAATGTCTTTCATAGTACTCTGCAGTGAGAGTATGCAATTTTTTAAACCGATCGAGTCGCTACGTAAATCTCACATAAAGTCCAGCACAACCACCTCAGGCGTACGTTTCAGAAGTGTTTTACAATCGATCGATGACTTATGTCTTTTGGCTGGCTGACAAGAGTTTGGCATAAGTCCCTTCACCGCACATATAAGTTTACTAGGTTTGACCGTTGTGCGAAGTATTTGAAGTAAATGTTTCGGATTGTTAATAGTGATGTAAACTTTGTTCTACTAGTAATATCCATGGGTGAGTGGAGGTGAGATACACCGAAGAATTAAAAAAATTGTTTGGACTTACCTTTGGATTCTTCAGGTCCAATGGAACCCCTCCATCCAAAAAGCTCCGAAAACTATTGTAGCCGCGAAGAAGTTCATTTGTATATATATGATTGGACTCAGATACGACGTGACGGAAAAAGCTGAGGGTGGGTTAGTAGGTTATACGCAAGTGAGATGAGTCAGAAAATAATCCCAGTTAATAATGGAGGGCAGATGGCGAAGCTGTGTAACAGTCAGCCTGTTGAAGTGCGTGGTCATCGAGCGATGCACAAAAGGGGGTAACAGTGCGACAACAAGAAACACGTGACGTCAGATCCGTACCAGGACCGTTTGCATGGCCATCTCCTTTTGAACTTATGTCAATGTTTGGGTAGTTTGCGGTCATGGTGGCAGCGTACTTAACATTGGAATAAAATGTGTCCCAATGCTTCATCATGCAACCATACAACTCTAATGTAGGCACTGCAGTGACCAGATGTTGAGGTGCAACCCGTCTTCCTTGGGAGTCATGCCATAATTACTTCGTGGTGAAAATATTGCAGCTATCTTGTTGCTACGATTGGTACGCCATTTCCTCGTTGTAGGCGTAGGCTGGCTTCCGCCAAGACTAGAACTACTTGGTCGAGCAACAGGGCTACTCAGCGACTTTTGTATGGCTGCTACGGGCATCCTATAAACAGATGATGACCGCCTCCTGAGGTGATAGGCACTCTAGTTTACCTTCAGTTGGAAGTGTTTCTGCGAAGGTCACTGTCCCGCCTAATGTAGGATTGTGCTGCCCGCTTCAGTATCACAAGCCTACATTTGTAAGGCGGCATGAAACTTCTACTCCTTTAAAGCTTTTTGACGGTGGTGTAGAAAGCAAAGATTGAACACATTAAAAGGACAGAAAGTATAAGGAAAAACCTTCGAACATTTGTCATCCGTTTTCTCAAATTGACAGACGATCCTAGGATAAGGCGACAGAAGGTAGCTACACTAGAGTAAAACTGTCATAGGGGAAACATTTCAAGTGAGGGTTTCTAAATGTGATGGAATCCCGAATTGGAGAGGGCAAACATCCCACATCACCATCCGAAGCGCGCCGTCAGCAAAAGAATCTGAAGGTTGTTATTCGGTTGCTTGCTCTCATGTGAATGTGCATTTTTATAAGCACGGTTATAGGATTATATTTAATTTCTATAAGATGCTTCTCGGAAAGCAACAGCTTGTGTTCAAGCTCTTCAGGCAAACATTTTTGTGCTCTAAGGAGCGGAAACCCTGACCATTCCTCATTTACGGTTGGCTATAAAGCAAGTTTTGACACTAATTTTAGGGCTGTTCGATCCGCCGTAGCGATGAATAGACCCAGAGGTCATCTATTGCCCACATACGCGAAGAAACATCACCCCTCGTTATATTAAAAGAGCGGTTTCTTATGCATGTGAGACAACAATAAAGTTCACGCCCATCGTTTTGAGATAACCAACAAGAAGTGAGGAGAAGAGAGACCGAAAGAACCCGCTAGTGACAAGGTTGACTGGATGTATTCAAGTACAGAAGAGGGTGCTCCAATAATTGACTGCCTAAACCAATAACTTACACGCGCTGGTCAAAGGAAGAGACTGCATCGTGTGGCCCAATTTCTTCACACCAAAAGACTCACTTTTAGAAAAAAAGGGCCACCCGAAGAAGAAAAATTTGGCTATTTGTTTCAAAAACTCAGCAGTAGAACCGGTTCACCATGGTGCCGTCGGAGACAACAAATGAGTCGGAGAACATACTACTGCCGTTACACACATCAGGTGTTGCAGACCCCTGCAACATAAGGTCGAAGCCAGGTAAAACATAGGTCACTAGAGAGGCGGAAATAAGATCATTCTTTGGTGATCTGCACAAGGTTGCAACTTGAACTGGCAAGAGGATTCACAAAGTGTGATCCCTATCTCAGCAGCCGATGAAACAACACCCTCCATACAATTCACCATGCCATCCCAAGCCTTAAACATACTTTTTTGACGTGCTTCTGCAGGAATTTAGGGGGTCTTGGAGGTAAACCGGTGGAGCTGAAAACAGTGTATCGTCATCTGCTTGTGATTATAATTTTCATTACAAGGATTGGCCCTCATTAGATGTCTTGAAGCAGGAAACATCTTTACACAACATGACCTTGTCTCGGAAGAACTAGCCGGCCGGGTAGTGGCCACACACATCGGCATGCAAATAAAAGTCAAAGAGAAAACTGATAGTGTGCTAAGTCAATTATCAGACTCTTTGAACTCCGTGAACTAAACGAATATCTGTTAGGAGAGACAAACAGGTATCCTCTACGCACAGCAAAACATAAGCAATGAATCCCAATCCCGATTTCACCACCAACCCTGCTGGAGACATCGGAAAACCGACACTTATTCCGTGATAGGAAGTAAGCTGTGGACATAAACATTTTGAACAGAGACTTGAAAACATATTCATCACGATAGGGTTAACAGAGAAAGCTGAGAGAGTCATTTGATGGGGGACACAGGGAAAAGGATCACGACCAGACTATACTTTCGGCAAACGACGATCTTTTGGTGGATGATATCTGTATCCGACCTCCCCCTAGGCAAAGGCGATCACGCATTGTTGAAACTTTTCTTAATGGCCAAGGAGAAACTACGGACAGTCGAACCATAAGCGTTCCACTGTTACCATAAGTCAGACTACTAGCTTGCGAATAGTGAAATCCTGAACGTTTCATAACCACAAGAATGGGACTGTCTTGCTCTGTGGAGGGAAAATGAATACGCATGAAGGAAGTCGTCTGGCGTGCTATCGAGAAGAGTCTTCCGCAGGTTGGCAGTCGACTACTTCCCTAACGTACTTGAGTTACATGTGCAACCCAGAGGCCAATAAGGAGGAAAGGGAAATGGTGGCGTTGGTGACGCATATCATTTAAGGAATCAGACTTTCTTAACTGCAAGAAGTTACGCCGCTTTTGTAACGACAGGTAGAAATGCCAAAGTAACCCGGTTAAACAGCTAAGTTACAATCTAAAAAACGCACATTGGTTTCTGTCACAACGAAAACCGATGAATAAAGGTTTAAACCCGATTACAGGAGCTAGCAGGGGACCATCGAATGGCAACAAGGCAGTGAAGTTGTTGCGCAGCCGATTTGACGAGCACCTAAACACAGTGGTGCATCCACCACCAACATTTAGTAATGTAAGTGATTTCCAGTGGCACGATACGAAGCCGATTAACATAAAGATTTCGTCAAATCAAGTGTTGGCAAAGCTTCCAACACTCAGAATGGGGAGATCTTCAGGCTATGATGACACTAGACCAGCGGCTTTATGCATTTGTGCTGAAGTGCTACGAGTACCCACTTGCAGCTTGTTCACACACTTGTTGGAAGTAAGTCGACTCCCTGAAGAATGCCAACGTGCCATTCTTTCACCAATCTCCAGCGGAAGAGACCGAAATTGCGCAAATACAGGCCATTAGCGTTATTTTTCATATTATTAAATGCACTGGGAAGCATGGTTGCGGATGTTCTTTGGGACTACCCAAACGGAAACGCCATTGTTCACCCGCCCAGTGTGGCTTCGGAACCGGATGGTCATGTGCCACAAACTTGACGACAACTTGGAATGACTGGACCACCGGATGGGAAAACAAGCCACTTGTTTGTGTCATCTTTCTGGACTTGGCCAAGGCTTTTGACAGCGTCTCACACTACAACATGCCCACTAACCTTCCAGAAGTGGGCATCACACTGAACCATTCACAGCATGTTTACGGCATGCCCAGAGTTTAATAAATTCTGCAATAAAGCAAAACAGAACCCGGTTGGCCTGGATGAGTGCAAGATCAGGAGTTTCTTGAGCAGCCACCCTCGGACCACTCCTGTTTTTATCATTCATCAATGAACTTCCTACCAAAAGCTACTCCTTCCATTTACCCTCCACGCAGAAATGTGGTGGACAATAGGATGGGTGAGGACTCTAGAATACTGAAACACCATCTGCCGCAGCTGTAGCCACAGTCAGCTACGAATGATTTAGGCTTCAAAGCCACGATACTTTTCCTAGAGGGTCAGCTTGGTAGGAGAACCCCTGATATATTCCCCATAATATTCAAAAGTTATGTTATACCAAATCCTGCCTTCCCTCTACCAAAGAGAAACGCAAGTACTTTCGAGAAGATACAGAGAAGAGCGACGAGGTCACTTGTCGAACCAGCAGCTGAAACACATGCTCAGCGTCTTGGGCAAATCAACTCATTCGCTATCAAGGGAAAAGAGACTACCTAATAACGACCTAAAAGGTTACTCACCAAGTAAACAACCGCAACTGTACACCATTATCAGTCCAAAATCGATGGTCTCATGAGAATCCCACTTGATTAATCCACCATGGAGCAGCAAAGAATGTGATATAGAGTTCATCCTCACACACAGTGCATGCCCTATGAAACGCTTTATCGAAAGAAGTAGCCCCAGCTACATCTGTTGATTCCTTCGAACGACCGCTTGATAAGTACATGGGTGTGAACGGCTTGCGATCATCATTCGCCAGCAGCCCTTGAAAGCATGCTCATATATCTCTCTATTCCCTAACCAAAGAATCTGCAATAAAACCCATCCATTCTTCACAGAATTACGAATACTACTTATTTTCCGTACGTAGTTTCCACCTATAATATCGTCAAATAGTTACTTACAGGTGCCAAAAAACAATCCCTATCACCAAAACAATAGGCAGCTAGAGATTTATGTGGCCGCTGAAGGATTTGACTGAACAAAACATGCTGAAAATCTAGAAGACTAAAAGTTTCCCATTGCAGCACTATTAAAATTATATATTGTGTAAAAGTTTGAGTTGGCGCGTTGTTTGAAAGAAGCTGTTCTTTCGCGTTGATAGTTCGTAGTAAGTTGTTATGTGTGTTTTTATTGTCATATAAATGTCTGTTTTTTTATCAAATCAGATTCCCTGGAACTAATAAATGTCTTATACTTCTTAATAAGGTGTTTGCTCCTATGAAGTTATGCCTAACTACCTCTTCAATGTAATTTCTACTGAAGTACTCCTTATTTACAGACATTTACTGCGAACTTTTTATTTGTTGCAAATTTAAGTTGGGCGTAAAGGTGAATTTGATCATTATTCCAGCCAGTATTTACTGGTGCATTTCCTAAATTTTAGATCTTTAAGCGCCCGATGTATTGCCCTGTTAGCCTTGAAACTAGCCTCCTTGGCCCGACTAAAGCAGTGGTCCAACGTTTGGTCCCATATGCACTACTTCCGGCTCCACATCAGACTCTTCCCAACGTTGACCTATTCGAACCGATGAAAATGTTGACTCTTACGTAGGATGGCTATATTATCCAGTCAGCAATTTCGTAGGCAACGTTGAGCTATGAATCTGATGTGGAACCAAATATAGTGCAAATAGGCTAAACGTTGGGCTAGTGTTTTGGTTGGGCATATACTCACCCCCGACTCTGTAAGGATGTAGGCATGACTGCAATCTGGGAATTGATTAGATTGTTTGAAAAGTTATCGCATGCCGGAAGTGTTCCACCACCCTAAAATGATTCAATTATTATGCCCATATTAAAAAATCGTCCACGTAATGTATGTCACAATCATCGGGGTATTGGTCTCTTACCAGTAGCGTCGAAAATAATGCCTGCTATCATACTTCTCGGACTTAGTGAACCACGTGAAGAAATGACTTGTGAGAGGCAGACCGATTTTCGTTCACGTTGTGGATGCATCAATCGTGTGTTTACTTCCCATCACCTGCTTCAACATCATCATACGTATTGTAGGCCAACAATCATTGTGTTTCCTGATATTAAGGCTACCTTCAATTGGTTGGAGAGACCTGTACTCTGGGATTGTATGTTAGAGAGGGGAGTGTCTGAGGAATTTCTTAACATCTTCAAATACAGCCTCAGATAGAGTGAAGGTATACAACCACCTATCTCCATTGTTTCAAACCAGCAGTGGAATTTCGTAGGAGGCTGTTCAAGCTCATTCCCAACCACCGGGAGCAAATAGCCAGATGTCAGTGAGATGGTCTGTGATCTAGATCGTACGCCTTCAAACGATATTCAAACACGTCTGGAACGCCTATCGTGCTCCATCTGACGAAGCAGAGGTCCATAAGGAACTCGAAATTCTAAAACGCCACAAATTACTCGGCCCAAATAACTTACCCCCGACTCTTAAAGGATGAAGGCACAACTGTAGGTTGTTTGAGAAGTTGTCGCACACCGAAAGTGTTACACGAATCTATAATGAGGAGTCGACACACAGTTAGAAGTTTTAATAGCTACATGGTAGAAGAGTGTTATTAGGCTTTCTTCACAGAAAGACACATACATATATATACACAGTAGGCGATATGGCTGACCGCCACCAACTGAACGGATTAGTTACAAGGTAGACAGACACAAGGTAGATGATATGAACTGTAGACAAGAAATAACACATAAATATTTTCTAATAATAACTTATGTTAACTAGAAATAATAGGAAAAACATGATTTTTTCTTCTCTCTCTCTCTCTCTCGTTTATATACTACAAACAAAACTCGAAATAACAGCAACAACAACAAACACAATTACTTTAATGTGACGCTAGTTTAAATTGACGTTTACGCCACCTATCGAATGCATTGACCATTAAACTGGCAACAACCCCCAAAACTATACCAACTGGTAATTGTGATAAAAACATTAATTTAAGATGTTGTGAACGTGTACGATAAACCCTTGATGAATAAACCCAAGCATAGTTTCTAAAAAAAACAACATAGAAAGTAATAAACAAGCAAGCTGAAAGTTGATGAATACAATTCAACTGATACATTATATATATCTTTACATTCTTTCAAATTATTCTTTATCCTTCGGTTTCCTAATGGAACAAATAGGGCTTCAGAAGTACGACACCATTTCACTCTCTTCTCTTCACTTTGGCTCCATGACTGCTCATAAGCTTTCACTTCTTCTTCATACCATCTCCTTCAAGTTCAACTTGTCGTTAAATCTTTCGGTTCCACTCAACGGTCTAGCCTAAGACGTTATGTCCCCGAATCGCCTTCTTAGTGTATGTTCAAGCTGGCTGGCTGGCTTCAGGAAGTACAAATCATATGCGGACCAAATTGCAACGCTATGCATCATTAAAAAACAGAGCATAGAATGGCAGTCAACTCTTTACCTCGTCTTTATCAATTTTGAAAACGCCTTGTACAGCGTCGACTGAGAAGTGATTTAGCAGTTGCTTTAACACTACGGTTTTAGTGCCACAAACCTTTATCAACCTCATTCAACAGCTATATGATGATGATGATGATGATGTTATATGTCAAGTGATTCACAATGGAAAGCTCAGTGATGTCTTTGAAGTGAAATGAAGACAGGAGAAAGACAGGGTTATTTATTATCTATCACCGATCATCTTCTTCTTTGTCGTCGACTCAACTGCACTACATCATGCGACAAATACCTGTGACGAGCGAGAACAGGGGCATACCCTGTTTGACCAGTGAAAAGACCCTACAAGATTTGGGTTTCGCCAATCATGATTTATCTCTAATGTCGCACACGCTCGAAGATCTACAGGTGAAAACTAGCAGGTCCACAGAAGAAGCGAGGTGACACAGCGAAGCAAGATGGGACTTCCTTCAGGTGATGAAGATACCCAACCGACAACAACAACAACAAGCAGCAATCAACATCAACTGCAGAAATTTAAACGGAGTTGTCTCCTCCACCTACCTACCCACCCACCTACCTACCTACCTACCTATCTAGAAGGCAGCATCGTTTCAACCACATACGACACAGGCTCACATCACGATGTCAAAGCCAACATTGGAAAGACACTAAGACAGTCGTTCCTGCATTAGTCCGAAGAAATCAGTGTGGAGATCAACTGCACTGCACTCCACTCCACTGCACTCAGCATAAAGCGTGGACAACATCCGGATTCTCAACACTAATCTCAGTCAAGTCAGTACTTGCTTCGATGTGATAGTTGAGAGAGTTGGCGCGTTACGAAAAGCATTTTTAACAAACTGAAGACATGCATCATCAACAATTGCCGAAGACGCTCACTCCATACTGAAGATGGAGATCAGATGACCAGAAGGAATAAGCAAGTTAGAACTCTGGCTGGCCTGGCAACTAACCAAGAAGATATCACTCAACAAACATGCAGCAGAAGAATGCGGAGATGGATTGGATTGAACATAGACTGAGAAGGTCGTTTGGGGATATCATGCGCCACTAGGAACCCAAGGGAGAAATAATAATAACAATAATAAAAGTACTGAAAGGTGTTTTACCTCAGCGATCAGTTGATCAGTAATTAGCTTTTTTTGTTTGGAAAATGCTTCACAGCTTGTCTATGCTTGTTGAAGTCATCGTGTAAGCAACGTTGATGTCATACGAAGGGTATCGGGAAGAATATGCAAATCAATCGATGAAACTGTGAAACGTAGTCGACCGAACCGACTTCGATGTGTACTGTGCATGCCTAGCCACCATCTACTTCGACGTACCATGGTAAGGGGTATTGGATTAGGTTGGAAGAGGGGGTTCAGGTTGAGCATACCACGATGTGGCACTAATCGATGAAGTCTCTGACTAGTGGTGTGAGTCATGTGAGGCGAAGCGGATTCCTTAGCTGGAGTCCGCTAGACGATAGGAGTTTGTGCTTCAGGTTTTACGTCGACTTTGTCTGTCTGTCTGTCTGTCTGTCTGTCTTATTACCACTATCTCAAGAGTTGCTTGTCTGTTTTGTAAATACCTCGCTCCCTTGAGATAAGTGGAACGCAGCAGCACTAAAATAAGAAGATGAACAAAAGGTAGACTTGAATTGAAAAGACTACCTCAAGAGATAATATATACCACCTTGGGAGCATACACTACTGCCTAGCGACAATGCACCAAATTGTAGAACTGTCACATACTTCTAGACGACAGTGATGTAGAAAGTTTGGTGTAAACTGGGCAGTAAAATATTAGTCCGAATCGCCCTACATGGCTCAAACCACAAATCAAGGACTTTATGCATTGATCCCACATTCTAGCCCCATCATCCCCAACCTTTTCCTAGTCTGAATTTACTTCGGAAAACATGGTGTAACGATGTAGACGGTGGTTAGGCATACGCGACACATGTCCTAGCCAACCATCTCAGTCGATGAACGTCTACAACCACACCAACTGACTGGCCTCTGTTTACCGTCTATGTATATGACGTATATTCAGATGACTTGAGTCAGTCACATATCCTATATCATCTTTAATTTCGCTCAGCTCTTCTCAAAGTAGAACAAATAACATAACACAAATAAGATACGCGACTATGAACAATAATCTCACTTCTGGAACTCCAACTTACAACATATCCACAGAGCTAACTATCCAGGAGACTGGAATATCTTCTGCAATAATACCAACACTCTTACAAACCATCAAAGGCATTATCATATACAGAATGATAAACTTCCAATGTCACAGCATTGTATTCACATCAATCGAACAGCAATAGTCAAGGATAGTATGTTTAACAACATACTTCCAGTTCGATGCGAAGATATACAAACATCTGGAAGGAACCCCAATAAAGTCACCGAGTTTTAAAAAGGTTAGTAATAATCATTCGATAAGAAAAAAAATATCAGTAGAACAGTAGAGTTTGTAGAGTTGTCCATCATCGTTTTAGACATTAGCGCGCCATGGGGTTTCGAACTGTGAGTTCCTAGTGGAACATAGGGCTTCAGTAGCACGTCTCCATTGCACTCTGTTCTCTGCGGTCTTTGAAACTGGTTCCACGACTGCCCACAAGCTTTCATTTCTTCCTCGCATGATCTCATCATCATCATTATCAACATAGGACCAGGCATTAC